TGATCGCTGACTTTTCGCAGTCTGCCAGTCCCCCAATAGCCTGCGCGGTTCTTGGTGACCTGCGCACCGACCGAGCCCTTATGATTTTCGATGGCATCAATACAGAGGGACAGCTGCCGAGCTTTTACGGCGACTTCGCGATGGTCTCCAACCCTCCTCCTTTCAAAACCTGACTTGGGACCAGCAACGGCGGAGTTAGATATTTTGATCTTTTAAATTTAATTCACTTTTACACCTTGTGCTGATTTTTACTCAGCTATCATGTGGGTCAAGGCGGGCGTTAACCAAAGGGTCACGCACAGACGGCATGTCCGATTGTCTTGCATGCGTTGGCATGATCACATGAAGATTTTGGTAGGTCAGCGACCTGTTACCCTCTTTCTGGCTGGTTGCATCGAAGCACAGTGGTGCTCAATAGAATTAGCAGTTATTACGAGAAAATTTATGCCACGCGTGAAGTTTAAACCTGACTCGCCTAAAGTGCAAAGAAAACTACTAACCATTCCCTAATAAGGGGTGTTCACGCTTTTGATGCCGGACTGACTACTACAGTTTTTAACTTTAAAGATCGCGTGATTTTCTGCACTTCATATGATTGTCATTTTATAGATAGGTTACTTTAGCTTTGTTTGTCGCAATTTTAGAGTTATGTTATTTCAGTTATGTTATGTTTATGTTATTTCAGTACTCCATTTACACTCCCCGTTAGGAAACAGAAATTATATTCTTGACTGTCCTTAAGTCATGGAACAACTATCTGGCTGCCAGTAGCGCATCACAAATTGTTGAACGTTGCTGTCATGCGATATTCTTTCACCTATTTTCAAGGTGCGTTATTTTTTCCGGTCGTGAGGTCGGCTGGTTCACAGTACACTGTTTCAGTAGTCAGCTCCGCCGCCAAACAGATAAAAGGGGTCTGGTTTCCAAGATTCGACAATGTCAGGTTACTTGTTTAATCGAGCCATTTGATTTGCGGTCGGCCTCTTGGTCGCCTTCCCATTTGCTTTGCCCAGGAAGTTCGCCTTGCCGTTCTCTCCTGTGGATCTTCAGTGTATGTCCACGCCATCGCATTTGCGATCTTTCGACTTGGAGAAGGACTGGCTGACAATCAACATAGGTATCCCGAAGGACTGGCTGCCTTGTTCAGAACCTTGTTGAGTTTCGTCACACTAACAATGTATCGAAGAAACAACCACAGTTCTTTGAAGAAACCGTCATCAGTTCTTCAAAGAAATAATACGTTGTTTAATTGTGTTGTCTAATGTGGGCTCCTATTTTATAAAGGAAGATACTTTGTAGTCTGCTTTCTTCAGTAAACTTTGAGCAGCTTTGAAATAAACCCGATGCCATGAATAATGAGAACCTGATAGGACCGAATAGCGAATAGTTTTAAGATGGAAGACTGATGTTACTGTTGCACTGCTAAAGACTGTTACGTATTTTTACATAGTGTCAGTACTTATAGGGAATAACCTTTGATGATTTTACAAGTTCTAGGCATTGTCAGTGTGCTGTTTTGTGGCATTTGCCAGGCGCATTACACGTACAATAACCTGTCTAAGTGTTCACAAGTCCGAACAAAGCAGGTAAGGGCAATGAAGGCTTTCTTGCTAATGTGACTGCATGTTTTATTTTTAGTTTTTCGAAGTACTGAATTTTCTGTCAGAGAATTTTATTTTTACTTACATCGGCGTCTCGCTGCTGACCTCTCAGTCCCACAGTTTTAACTACTGGTTTCTCATGGGGGCATTTGTACTTGATTATATGATTTCGCTTGTTCACTTTACAGTTACACATTGCACAGATTGGAATTTTCGTCAGCAGAGCTGCATTTGTGTACTTGTTGACCTACTTGCTTAATGTGACTAGAAGACCCAGGATTCCGATGAATCACCAGCACATGATTCTTTTCTCTGGTAAATGAATTCTTATAGCGGCACTTTTAAACGCTATTATACTACTACACTTGCTGTTGTTCGTTATGTTGTGCTTTGGAACGTGCCTGTGCCCTTTAAAACACGAAAAAACGCATGAATGCAATTCGTTTTTAAAGTTTATTGCATCGGTTTCTTCTGAATCCATGATTAGAGACATGAATAAGTTCAAGGGCGGGTTTCAGTATCTTTCACGGCGTGCCTATTTACGACAGTGTTCATTCATGTATTTTTGCAGCATGGTTCGATGACTTCATGGCGCTTTTCTGTGATTTGCTTTCAGTGGGACTGATTCTAAGAGTACGACAGTGACAAGTGTTCATCAAAATTGTCTTGAGCCATATGGCCATCACTCTGCCTTTTTCCTGCCACGTAGCTTTGCAGCGCGAGATCATTAGCGGTTTTGCTCTGTAGCATCGTGACCACGTGCTAATGCAATTCAGTGGCGATATTTCGATTTGGAGAAATGATTCGCAAGCAAGAATTTTTAAAGCTTCCGTCGTCACCAATCCATCGAAAGAACTTCGTTTCTACCGCGTGCATCCGCTGTCGCTCACTATCCATTAGTTCATAGCAGTACTATCCTACTGAAGCATAGAATTTAAGGTACTAAAGATGGTTCTCTTATTTGTGCCTAAACGCATAATCAAGAAAATGTCATTGTTATATTACTGGGCGCATTCAGCAGTAGTTTAAAATTAATTATTTTTCATTTAACTTGGTACATCAGTCGGTTATCAAAGTTCTAAAGAATAATCGAGGTTCATCATGACTGATGCGACAAAGAACGAATAGCTGATTAAAAATCATAGAATTGTTTAAATCATGTATGTTGCGCGGTGTTGTCCAGGCTCGCCTCTTCTCTGCTGTTTGCATAAGTTTCTATCAGTTTTAGTCTCAAAGACTGTACAATATTTATAAGTTCTCAAGTTCTAAGGTGACTAGGTTTTGCCTTGTAATTATTATTTTGGCTTGGCGGCTCTGTTCATTTTGCTAGTGCTAAGGAAAGAGAAAGAAAGTTGTTGAAAGAAAGAAAAGATGTGTTCGTTAGTCCGGCAGTCTCTCTGATGCTTCTTCTAGTCGGAGCTGCTCAGTCTGTACGTAAAGCGTCAAACTCAGAATCGAGATATCCCGAGTTCGAGCCCCGGTTAGGTCAGTTGCCATTCTTTCTTCCGAGGTTGATAAATGAGTACCACCACGTGGGAAGGAAATTGGAGACTACATACTATGCTAGCCATATCTGTTCTACCACTGACTGTGTGAAAAGAAGGGCATCAGAAATGATCCCATCATGAAAGTGTAAGGAAGACCGATATTACATCGGCTTCAGCTTCACGTTTCCTTTTTTCTAGCGTTTTTGTAGTGAATATTGTTTATAGTATTCATTTTTCACGAAATGTGTGATTACGCTCAGGAGCGCAATGAATTTGTGAATGCTGCATCTTCAGCTATATGGAATTTATACCAGTTAGTTTCCTGATCTCGTGTTTTCTTTCCTCCTAGTGGTATGCATTTATGTGCCCCAGAAGTGTCAAGATGAGTTACCCGTTTGGAACTCTGAGTAACTGCCTTTCAGTGGCAGGTCTTACGTTCTATTGTCCAAGCTGTTCTAAGAAGGAAAGATAGAGGATCGAGACAGAATTAAGTAGCTTTTATATTATTCGTATATTTATATTATCCCCATACTTACCTACGGTCATGAATCGTGGACCATCACTGAAAAACTTCGAACCCGGGTGCAAGC